GTTTTGACAGTCCTGACCCCTGAAGGCTGCTGTGGCCTTGGACTGCTCCTCCCTGTTGGGGACTGTTTTTATTTGGCTCTGTCCCTGGGCAAACAGCCTTAGCCTTTTTCATAGCATAGCACTATCCTGTCCCCCTAAAATCTTCCCTTCCAGGTGAAACAGTGCTATGTCCTTCAGCTGGTCCTGATATGACATGCTTTCTAGACTCCCTATCATATATATTTTATTCTCATCTAGCCGAAAGCTAGTTTATTATTTTTTGTTAACCCAACAATATTTATTGAATTCATACCATCTTCCAGGCACTGTTAGGTTTCCCTTAACTCGTTTCCCAGTCTGAATATAATTGTCTGGATTTGCTGGTTATTTTCCCCTAATTATATTATATCTGTAGTTAATGTTTGGACTCTTTGAGGGTGGGGCTCATTTTTAAAATACATTTCTGTATGTCCCTTCTGCATTAGGTAGGAAGCCCTATAACAGTAGGCTTATTTTTTGCTTATTGTTGGGCTCTGGGCAGACAGCTTTCTGGTAATGTGATTTTAGGGCTTACCTATACTGCCCTACATCTCCTGTGATGAGGGTTTTAAACTTTAATAAAATTTCTCAGTGGAGATAGCAAAGAGCCATTCATGAGTTTTGTACATAGGTGATTGTAATATAAAACCATTATTAAGTGTCTGCCTCCCTGCCTGCCTGCCTTCTTTCCTTCCTTCCTTCCTTTTTTCTGGAATGGATTTCTTTCCTTTCCTTATAAAGCTGGGTGTTGGAGGTCATGCCATGACCTTTGGTTATTTTCCAACTTTTAGAAGGGACTGTGAGGCAAAGGAGGGAATAAGCTCCACATTTTTTTTTACCTTGTTTCTTGTGTCTTTGATGTCAGATGGGCTCCTTTAAGCCCGGAGGCCGAGTGATCCTGGCCACGGAGAATGACTACTGTAAGCTCTGCGACGCCTCCTTCAGCTCTCCGGCTGTGGCTCAGGCCCACTATCAAGGGAAGAATCATGCCAAGAGGCTGCGGCTGGCAGAAGCTCAGAGTAACTCATTCTCGTAGGTATTGCCCTTTGCTCTGAGGCCACGGTGTTGTGTGAGACTGTCTTTAGAGAAAAAGAGCTGAAAGAGATCCTTGTTTAAAAGTCTCACTTTTAAAAAATTTCTTTTCTCCAGGGAGTCCTCAGAGGCTGGTCAAAGGCGGACCCGGAAAGAAGGGAATGAGTATAAGATGATGCCTAATAGGAGAAATATGTATACAGTACAGAATAATTCAGGTATCTTGTGGATTTCCACATATTTTGGCTATATTCTTCAAATGGGCTCCTTTATTTTTATCTCCCTTAATGTAATAGCCCTGAGAATTTGCTGTTAGCTATTGTTTTGTTGAATTGGTCTCGTGGCTTTTCAAGCTGGTGTTTGTTTCAGCTCTATTTTTCTATTTAGTATGTTATTTATTTTTATTTTAAACTATAGTTTGTATTTTAAGGTCTCTTATCATAGTCCCTTTATGTTTGCCAGCTGAGAAATGTAAAATGCATTATTAAAAAATAGGCTATTTGGTTTAAACTTGCACCATGTTAAATCCCCATTTATTGCGAAAATAAAAAAGATTATGCCAGTGTTTTGTAACCAGGATAGTGAATCAGAATTACATGGGGAGTTTTTACAAAATACACATGCCTGAACCATGACTTAGAGATTTTTCAATCAGTAAATTTGGAATGGGATGCAGACACATGTGTGTTTTGAAAATGCTTCCTTGGTGATTCTGATATACACCTTCAGTTTAGAAGTACTAGCTTAAAGGAATGTTTTCTGCGTTTTTGCTGATTATCTTCAGTAGGGAGAGTAGGACTGAGCAGTCCCCTTGTCCTCTCCCCATACTTCAGTACATACCAGCAGAGGTCATCCATGTGAATAGTGAAATGAACAAAAGACAAAAGAAGTTAATTGGAAAGGCAAGAGAAGCTTAGACAAAAGAGGCACAATGTAATATGATTCATAAAAGTTCAAGCATATATCCATAATTACAATAAAGGTAAATTTACTTAAGTCCCAGTGAAAAGACAAAGATTTTAAGATTAGATTAAAAAAATTCAGCTGAAATGAAGCTGAGATAGCTGTATTAGACAAAATAAATTTTAGGACAGAAGTCAGTTTGGATTATGTTCTCTGACCAGAGTACAATTAATTTCCATACAAAATTTCTTTTTGTTTGGAAATTTTAGAACACTTCTGAATAACTATAGGTTAAAAAGGTAATCATACAAAATTTGTAGGATACAATGAAAGTAAATTTTGAGAAAACCCTTAGATATTTATTATAGTGGAAAAGAAAAGCAGAAAATTAGTAAGATAATGGTAAGATAAGTATAGAAGTCAGTTATGTTAAAAAAATTAACAATAATCCCACCAACTTTTTATGTCATTCAGTCTCTATTATTACTTCTTAAAAATAGAAGTGTGATCATATTTTGTGATATCCTTGTTTCATTTAATAGCATATTATCACATTTCGTGTAATTAAAGACTTCATTATTTTTAGTGATTGCACAGTTTTCCATTACATTCATTACTGTAATTTTTCAAATCATGTTTTTGTATCTATCCTTTCCCTATCTTCTCCCAAAAAAACCTTTATAAACAAAGATGGAATATATGTCCTTGTTGATAAATATCTCAGGGTAATTCTTAGAATTTTTAAAGAGTTAGTATAATTATACTTTTTGTATAATGCTTGGAAATTAAATTATTTTTTAAATTGACTTTATAGAGGCATTGTCATTTAGAGGTTGGGTTTGGCTTTACGGTAGTCTTTTTGGCAATAGTTGGAGGAATCTTTAGTTTTTTAGATTAAACCTGTATGAAATTGTAATTTAAAAAAGTCGATTAGCTTCACATTCATTTAAAGCTAGGAATCCATGTATATTATAATTTGAATTTAGAATTATAAATTAGTGATAATTGGTCAGGCCATCATCATTCATTTAGTGAGTATTTTGGTTTGAATCATTTTTATCTCTTGCTTTAGCAGGTCCTTACTTCAATCCCCGCTCTCGGCAGAGAATTCCACGTGATCTGGCCATGTGCGTTACTCCAAGTGGCCAGTTTTATTGCTCAATGTGTAATGTTGGGGCTGGCGAAGAAGTGGAATTCCGGCAGCATTTAGAGAGCAAGCAACACAAAAGCAAGGTGTCTGAGCAGCGGTACAGGAATGAGATGGAGAATCTGGGATATGTATAGTGATTGTCATGTGCAGATAGAGCAGCTTGTCCTGCCTGTTGTTTGCCTTCTGTACAATGCCCTGCTTTGTGGTCCTTTGATATGAGTGCATTCCTCTGCTTAATGTTAATACACGTGCCCTGCAGTGGTATCATGGGATATCAGAACGGGGGAAGGCAGAGAGCGTACTCCTTAGGTCATGATGCTTTTCCAGGTTTGTTGTGTTGGTCTGCATGTGACCTGCCTACCCCATGAGAAGGGACTTTTTATCTTGGCCAAGTTCTGGTCCACTAGTAGTCTGACCACATAGAGCTTTAGCTATTTGAAAAATTCATCTTCTTTTGCAATTTTAGTTCTATGTAATGTTAAGTGTTTTACTGAGTTCTTACTTCAGATCACAGTAAAAAAAAACCCAGGTAAGTAGAGACTTCAGTTTCTCAAGGCTTCTTTGGAGCCACCACCGCAGCTCAATGCCTTGTCACTGGGATATACTGTGATAAACTGCATTAGGGTCTTTCCTTTGACATTTTTCCCTTTATCATGTCCTCCCATTATTGAAGTGCAGGTTTCTTGGATTCAGATCCTTCCAACATGCTTGTGGACCTCTACATAGTAAAACTTCATTTCCAGTTGTGGATTTCACACATTTAAATGCCACCTTCTTCCTCTTTTTTTTTCCCCCCAATTGAATTACCTTGTCCAATGAACTCATTTTCATGCCCCAGCTATGCTGTGAGTTTCCAAGCCCCACATTTGAATATCTAGTGAGTTTAAGATAGATAGTTCCAGCTGGTTTTAGGAAAAGTAAAGATGTGTTTGAATTTCATTTTAAAGTTACTTCATTAGTAATGTCGTACTTAGATCATGGTCACAGTTTTAAGTTCAGATCTCTTGAGATTTGTTCTGGCAGATGTTTTAGGTAAATGGATTCTTACATTTTACAAACATTTTTCCCTGTCTTGCTAGTTTGTTGACTGTCCTGAAAAATACCACTACTTTACTGTTTCATAGATAAAGAGGAGTTTTTAAAAAGCTTATGAAATTCCAATATCATTACTTCCAGTAGGAAAATACATGAACTTTAGTTTCATTTTT